TTATTTTTATGTGGCTTGTCTTTAACTAAGTAGTGTTAGGCGCAGTAATTCGCTTCTAAAAATCGTTAGAAGTCAGGGATCACTCCGATGTTTCATGAATTTTTTTTTTTTACGATACATATTTATTAATATAACAATTCAACGCGCTGCACAATACTAACGGTACATTACTCGTATTGTTTTCACAATATAACACTTGCTGACAGTCTGCTACCTACATTACTTACATTACAATGCTAGACAGTACATGCATGATGTTTCGCTTTTTTGACATTAAAATCAAAACATCGCCCGCTATATAATACTGACAGTACATCACTTCATATAATTTTATAATACAGCACTTCCATAAGTTACACAGTCGCATTTTTAAGCATTACCTAACTTACAACACATTTCAAAGAAAAACTCACAATTCACTAATTACACTTTCCTTTCCATCCCTTATAATTACTTGATATACATAGCATAAAAAAACAAAAGTTGCTTTCTACAGACGCTACAAAGTTATCTATCATGTAGTTAAAATACAACAAAACAAAGAGAGAATACTATTACTAACAGAATAGACATAAGATTTTGGGCTTTGACTTAATATTAATTAAGTTTTCCAACAGATTTTTGCGATTTTAAGACAGGTTATTGAAATTGGTTAGTTGAATTAGAAAAAAACTATATCATAAATTCAAGAGGATATTTTGTGAAATTTTAACTCAACCTACGTCTAAATATCATGCGATAACTTTGCGATTCCTTCGTGATGTTTAGACTGACCGTAGAAACAATGTTCGGTATATATAAAAATACTGAATTGAGTGGTGCTATTTCTAGATTACACAATTGTCCTTGTTCCCTACTTCTTCGATGGCAAATATCTGCAATGTGCAAAACCAAATACACATTATTCCAACATGGATACTGTGAGCAATCAATAAAATTCTCAAAAAACTCATAAAATGTTTGGGGACTTTTGTGTTTTAGTGGATGTTCCCCAAGCATTTTATGGCTCTTTTGAGAACTTAATTGACTGTTCTTACTATCCATGTTAGAATAATGTGTATTTGGTTTGCCTATTGCAGATATTCGTCATCAATTAAAGACTATTCACAATACTACGAAATAAGCACCTTACTTAAGATGAAGCCACGGAGAGAAATCAAATTACCCAGTTGAAATGGGTATCTGTGCTTTAAGACCGATAGTTTCACATTTTCACATGGCTTTTCTTGTTGTAGAAATACTAAACATAAGATGGATAATTAAATATGCATAAATAAGTGTCAAATGGCCATTTTTGCAGGGGGGACACTCACCAAACCCAACATTTGTGCCAAGAGTTCATTTGAGGTTTATCACCTTCTGCCTGGTTCTGCCTGGTGTTCTCATGGACACACTCTTTTAAGTCTGCAACTTCGTGCGCTTGGCTTCACATTATGTCTCGACATTAAATTAGATATGCTATATGCGCTGCACAAATGATTTATCCACCTGAAAGCAGCAAGTGGCCACCAAAAGGACGCTGCTAAATCTAAAAGTAACGAGGGTTCTTGTTCTCGCAATTTTGCGGTCAGTATGGATATTTTCAAAGATTCAAAGCCAGAAGCGTGGAGGCGTGGTGGCCTCATGGTTAGTACGCTCGTCTCCGGATCTGGGGGACTGGGTCAAGCCCTGGCCGGAAACATATTCTTGTGCTCTTGAGCAAGACACTTCACTCTTATAGTGCTTCTCTCCACCCAGGAGTACTGTATAAATGGGTACTGGCAAAATTAATGCTGGGAGTAGCCCTGCGATGGACTAGCATCCCATCCAGGGGAGAACAGAAATACTCCTAGTAGCCTGTGGGGTTCGGGAGCAAAGAATTACAGCGCGAAAAATGGAGCGAGTAAAAGAAGAGGGGAGGGAAGGGAAGGAAGGAAGGAAACCTCTCCCACCCCCCTCTTTCTTTTTTTTTGGTTCTCGCCCCATTTTCCGCGCAGACAAAACACCGAAAATCCCGTTC